ACTACAAACACAACAGCTTGTTTCAGAGAATTTGTAAAAATTAAAATTACATGGTTAATGTCTTCAGAAGTTGTTCAAATCGAGCGGTATAAAGATTCTCCTGATCATACACACCCTATACAAGATATTGATAGAGGCGCATTTCAGAATATGTTCGAAGAAAGTGGATTTGAAATTTACGAACGGCGTGAGCAAATCACCATACTTGTGTCGCGAACGGAGGAACAGAGAAGAACTGATTACTGTTAATAAGCTGATGGAAAGAGTGCGGGATATATACTGGAGGCAGAGGAAAGTGGTAGTGCAGAGCAAGTAGATAGTCTCATTGAATAAAGTAAAAGATTTGATTTTGTTATTATCACATGATATCCTGCTGTGTGGCACCAATACTGATTGTGGCACTTAGTCAATTGTGTTAGTTGATTTCTGAACACGTCATCATAAAACGTTAACGTTAATGTTTGAAATACGCTTCCGTTTGGTGAATCTGAAACGTTGAATAAATAGTCATACCGTTTATGTTCTGAACGGTAACGCCTGTGGGAGCTAGTAAGAGATAGTGAATTTTGTAGTCAACCAAGATTTAATAATGTTTATGGCGTATAATTTACCAGTTTTCGCAGAGCCAGCGATAAAGAAATATGGATATTTGTTGTTTGATACCGGTCCCAAATATTGCATTAATTGTTCAGTTGGTAAATCGAGTTTCATCGCATCAAGCAATATGTCATCAAATTGGTGCAGCAAGATGATTAATTAAATCTGTAATAAAAGTACTGAACTCGAATTGATTGTGTATTGCGCGTTGATTAGATAAAGATGTTGTGTTAAAATGAGTAATTGCAATAGAATTCGAAGTTACCGCACAATTTACTTTTACTACGGCAAGGATGCAAAGCAGTTGCTGATAGGATTTCATATAATTTATTACGCCAATTAGTGTTGAGTATCGTGATACCAAATAATTTATTCCTGTCCTCAACTTCCACAATCCCGATTTCCCGATTTTCTGATTTCCCGATTTCCTAATTATCTAACTTTCTTTGTATCCCTAATGATATTACTACACAGAAATTACGCCATTTTATATTCGTCGAGATAAGTTGATTATTTGCCTCATTTGGTTAAGTAATCAATAAAGCCAGGCGTAATATGAAGATCGGAGGAGAAACAAGAAGCAAGTATTTCTGTAATAGTTAATAAAGGTAAAAAGAGAATGCACTTGTGACAGCCATGGATGCGTAATACAATTAAGCACTTATAGAAAGGTCAAACACCAAGAGATTTATTAACCAATAAAATTGCCATAATATTATCTGTTGAAATGCTATATCTCAGTGTATCTCACCTCAGATATATCCTCAAAAATCTTGGGTTTTAAAGTGGGGATATAAACGAGGTATGACTGTAATAAGACCACTTCTTTCTAATTAAAATTTTACTTATTCTTCTAGACCGGTGGTTCATTGACTATTGTTGGAACAAATGGATTTGGGTTCTCGGGGGTAGGTATTCTAAATAAAGGCAAAATAACAAGTCGTTAATTAACGCAATAACTTTATATTGTGTAATGTTGATTAAATAATTACCCTATTGATTCCATAATTGCCTTTATATGAGGTCCAGCAATTGTATCAGGAGTCGCTGCTCCATTGTCCTTATCGATTTGTTGGAACGTCTTTCCGCGTATTGCCCTGAATATCATCAGCCAGTCTGGCGAAGTAGAATACGTTTTATAGTCTACGTGTGATCCAGTAGAACCTTCAGCAAATGGGACGAGAGTTGTCTCCAATATCACAGCATCTGTTATAGCTGTTTTTCCTATCGGTAAAAATCCAATTGCATCTGGAGTGACATAGTCTGACGTAGTCGGAATAAGATTTTTATTCGCAACGTCTTCAATGACGCTGGCTAATGCCTCATTAGTAGTAAATGTCGTTCCATCAATGGCTTTTTCAAAATCTTTTGTAAAATCTGTTAGATGTCTGCCCTCTACGGTTCGAATCACGAATTGATCAAAGACAACTTCGCGCACGCGCAATATATTTAAGTCATCAGATAGAATGAATGGTGTTACCACGTTGTTGACACCAGACGGTCCCCAAGATGAAAGTAAACCCAACCCGTGATGAAATTCGTGTGCTATGACAGCAACAAAGTCGACTTGATCTGGTTTAATGTGTTTGTCACCCGGCAAGAAAAAGCGCGATGCTAGTTTGCTGTTGAATGAAGCTATTATATCGTGTGTAGCATAAGGTACTGGGCCTGGCGGGTTGGCAAACTTTGTTAATATTTGAGGATAAAGTCGAACTACACCGTCTGAGCCCTTCATTGAGAAAAAGCGTGATGGGCCTGCTTGTCCAACTAATAAAAAAAATCGGTTAAAATATAATTTCTCAACTCACAATTGTATTACAATGGTTTATCTCAAACTTACTAATAGTTCTATCCGGAGGGCATCCTGAAGCCCCGCACAGATCCGCAAATTCTGCAGCAACTGTAATTTTTTGTGGAAACTTGTATATTTTGCTCAGTAACGCTCCTGCTTTGATGAAAGCCTTGCGTGCTTTGTTACAGGTTCGCTTATCCATTGTTGGATCGCAAGTAAAAGACAGCTCAAATGCGTTGTTTTTAGTTGCCTGATTTTTGATATAACCGATCTGCGGTCCGGTGGTTAATTTGGAATAAGCATTATTTTCATCATTACATATGTTTAATTTGGTAATGTCAAGTGCACTTTCTGGTTCAAAGCATTCGTAGGATGCCGAGGGAGAAGCCAGCAAGACAACAACTAATAGTACAACGAGACAGAGACAAGAACAGCTAGAGGCAATCATGGTTGATAATTCGTAAATGATCCAAACTCAGTAGAACTGGAATTATTTACTGCTCTACTAAGATTTCTTGGATGTTGTCGCCTTCTTAAATAAACTTTTAGCGCTTTTATTTTAATCTATCTAGTGTTACGGTTGACTATATGCTAAATGCATCGACATGCACAAAACGTGCAGACAAAACAAAAATGGTAGACCCTAAAGGCAGTATTCTACTACAATTACATCTTTGTTGAACAATGAAATGTAGTTTTCTGCTGCATATTATTTCCTGCAGAACTTTCCAAACAACGACAAATGATTATCATTAACATCAGCGAAATCGAACATAGATTTTTTTATTGTCGGTGCGTTATAATCCGGAGGACAAACCCAAAAGCGGAAATTGCCGATAAGCGAAAGGCTCAATTTGGCCGAAGCAAATCAAACTTTTTCTTCAATGCTTGGATAAGGATCTGTTTATTACACAGATCCGAACTGGTGAGACTCTGTAATGCAGGCTAAAAATAGAAACATTTCAAGGGAAGTCCTATTTTTCATATATATCGGCTTGTGTGGCCTCATCTGTGCACTGATTTATCCATCCCAAACCCAGAGTTCTGAAGTAAATCTTCAGGCTATACGCCGAATAAGAAAACAATATTAATTAATCTCTTTTTACACTGTATTTGCTTGGAGAGTGTTGTTTTTTTTTGTTTTGCGCAAGCGGAAATGGTTCTGTTCAGAACAATAGAGTATCGGGAGAAAGAACCTAAATTAAAATTTTCTCTGAAAAAAGCTGTATTTACAATGAATGTTAAACGGGATGATTTCTTTTTAGGACCACTAAACATTGCTATTAATAAAACGCATGCATAGAACCTAAATGACTATTGCGCTCCTTAATAAAAAGACAATATCGTAAAAAGTATGGGTATTATTGTATCAAGAAAGCGCCAGATATTAACAGTGCATGATATACTGTATTATGCTTATGGCTTTGTCCTTTAGATGACCCAGTTCGTCAAAAGATGTATTGTGTAGATCTGCAAATCATGATTTACAGCAGCACATACAGTGCACAATATTTTACAATCAAAGGTTGACTTTCTGTTTGTTGTACATTTATTTTGACGAGCTATAATAATAACCTTACCGGTATCCATTGTCCGGTTACACTGTATTTATCCGTCCCGTTTTTCTGTAATAGTTCGGATTTTGACTACCGTTGATTTTTAAGTAAACATAATATTTCTTGACTTGTGACCAGTAATAACGTGTTTCAGTTATGCTGCTGAAGGGCGATAAATGTTCACTACTCCCAACTATGCCGGTGGCCGCTGTCGATATTGACTATAAATTCGTATACACAAGATAATCAACTTGGTATGACAAAAGAAACAAACTGGTCATGCGCATGAACAATCAGGAGATTAATATGGTAATGGTGAATGCCAAAATTGATATTACCGACGGAAATGAATTGTTATTGCAAAACCCGCATATATTGGCGTAAATGATTGTGGCTGAGTGATGCAGGCATAAGCAATATGGCACTTACGACCCGTTTTTACTATATCATTTATGAATAATCTCCGTCTTGTCCATTGATCCCAACCTCCGGGTAAGAGTTTACAGAAATAGATAATATTATAACAAGTTGTGATGAAGCAAAAAATACTTGCGTATATGGTTTTGTTACTGGGACAAGCAATACTGAGCCGTAAACCCCTCCTGAGATGTTGTTAAAATTTCTTCTAATAACACCTTTTGTTAATAATAATATGGAACTCTTAAACAGAGAATCTACAACCTACTCTCTCTTTTCTCTCTACTACATGAAGCTCGAGTCGCATGTTGACATTATACAGCATATATTTCTGCGCTTGTTAAATAATGATTAAAGTTCCAAACTTATTTGATAAAATTAACTTAACATGCATTCGATGCGTAACTGTATTGTGACATTACGAATACTTATTACTACATGCAGAGTGGAAGTTCGAATCTACACAGGCATAACCACCAGCATTTCAATAAGTAAATACTATCATCCAAGCGACAATTTTTTTGTTGAACGTATGACCATCATTTTCTTCTTGTAATAAACGCTAGGTACCGAAATTCAAGGTCAAGTATCGAGTAGTGAATAGCAAATGTAGTGAATAGTAAATAACTGAACCCCCTTTTTCGATCATATAAAATGATCGGCGACCATCACGTAAATAATAAACTTTAGGGGGTTGTCCAACAGTAATTGTAGTAACGAGGACTTTTAATAAAAATATTATTATCACGTGTTATTACGTAATAAACTGCTCGTAGGGGGAGGAATATGTTGCTAATACTGTAATAGTGGTAATCAAGGGATGGAAATGTTTATTCACGATAGTTACTTATTCACGAGCGGATACGGTATTAATTATTTACAAGGCAATTTCGTTCGTAGTTCTTCAAGACCGAGAGATTTCCAGTCAGTTGAAATAGTTTTTTCGCTTCTAGTCATAATTGGACAATTGTTTAGAAAGACTATTAGCCGATAATAATACTGCTCGCTCTTCTTTTTTGACTTTGGTGAATTGTTGCTAAGAATAAACCATTGAAAAACTCTCAAAGAGCAATACTATTAAAAAAGAGCCAAAGCTGCTATAAAATTGCATTTCGATTAGACGTAGTAACTTTCCAAATTACGTATTAATTATGCGAGACTCGAATCAATGCTACTAGAAATATTTTATGTCATGGTAGGTACGTACAGTAAATGAGCAGCACTACTGATTTATACGTTCGTGCAAAACAAATTATTTTAATTAACAGTTATTTTTAAACGGGATACATTAAATAAATGTTTTTTATCGGTAATCTCTACTTAATATAAGACATTTGTGCTTGAAATCTGTTGCTACAATGCAAGCTGACAGAATTAAATTGTGCACATACAGGTTTTGCAAAAACAAAAAAATATATCTTGCTTATTTCTTGTACAGCCAGCATTTCAAGGCTACATGGCATATATTTTAGCACCAGCCCACACTGTTTTTTACCGAACAACTTGGTAAATTTCTGTTATAAAATGTTCTTAAGGAGGCAATCATAAAATTAGATTTCCTGCCGCTGCTAACCGTAACTTTTGTTCAATTATTTGGATGTGTCATAAAAGTTAGAATAATATTGCGTGATGCTGTTGTATGTTGGTTTGGAATTTATGTCCATTCCGAATGGACATGTATGTCAGATTGGAATCATAAAGACAATCAGGTAACAACATTA